GATTTGATTTGAAACTGTCTCATTGCTATCTGTTTATCAATAAAACTTTGAAAAGAAAAAAAAAAGAAGTAACTGGAAGTGATAATGTTTGTTAAAGTTAGCAAATAATTCTCAGGATAGTTAAAATGGTTTTAGTTTATCATTTTTTATGTTTTTGACATGAAATACTTTTTATTATGTTGCACCATTTTTATAGTCTATGCTTTGTTTATGACTTGTGAGATTTTAAAAACTAAGGAATTATAAATGGTACCACCATCTTAAGCAGTGTTCCAGTGAAGTACTATGTTTCTGATTAAAAATGTTTGTGTCCTAAATAGGTCAGATCTCTTAGTTAGCTTCAATCTTAGGATTTAGCAAGAACTGAAATTCTTTTCTCTGGAGTCTCAAAACAAGAAACAATTTCTTGTGGTTCTTCTGTTTTGTTTTTTTTTAGCTTTCTGACTCTCATGTCTCATATTTTTTCCCCTTACATTTCTTTATGTTATGGGTTTTTATTTTTCTTTCTGTGTTTTAGGAAAGGGTCTATAGGGTGTTCAGGGTCTCACTACTAGGTGGGACTTGTAGTGATTCCCCTCCTAAGAACTGGGATTATAGGTGTGCACCACCACGCCCAGTCTTAATCACCATCAGTGCACCTCAGGGGTGGGGGCGGGGCCGGCCCCTGTGGCTGCATGCAGGTGCTTTAATCTGCTGAGCTATTTGGCTGGCCCCTGATGGTATGGGTTTAATGGTTACCAAGTTGATACATCTATGTTATTAAAATGGATCTGAAAATCCAGGAAATATTTATCGTTTCATGTTTGTGGATTGCATAGTATTGCTCCCACATTAGCAAATGTGGGCATAAAGGCAGAAACCAGTTCCTGAGAGGCCATAAATTGCCTATAAAGCATAAAGAGATTTTAATCTGGTAATCTAAATGACTAATTTGAAGACAGCACAAATACTGTCAAATTTGTATTATTTTGTTTGGTGAAATACTATCTCATTTCTATTTTTTAAATATTATTTTGTATTCTCTTTAAAAAATTAAAAAACTTTAAAAATTTTTAAAAAGAAACACATAAACGGATATTAGGGTTGGGGAGATGGCTAAGTAGAATAAGTGCTTGCATGGCAAGCACAAGATCCTGAGTTCAGTCCCTGGTACTGAAAAAAAAAAAAAAAGAGAGAGAGAGAGAGAGAGAGATATTAACTATTATAAAATATAAATATTCATCAGGAAATCTGATCTTTTGTGTTTGTTTGCTCCAGGGAATGTACAAATACCTTGAAAGATGTTTCTCAGACTTTAAGCAGAGAGGCCTTGTTGTTGGGTATGACACTCGTGGTCAAGTAACCAGCAGCTGTAGCAGCCAGAGGTACAGTGTTAATTGTTTGAAAAAAAAGTTGGATTAGAATAAAATATTACTCTTTTTTTTTGGCTGCCAGTAATAGTATGTGTGAGGCAGACTACCAGATTAAAATGTGTTCACATGCTAGTGTTTATTTTAGAGCTGAAACAGAAGAAAAAATATATCAAAAATAAGCTACAGATTTTAAAAAAAGAAGGAAAATCATAAAATGACATCATTAGTTGGTTCATTCAGAATGTCATAGCTTGTAAGTTTGATATATTGGTAAAAGGACTGGGTAGGAGTAATTATATAGTTTATATTATCTCATAATCCTATTTTATTAAGAGCATTTTTATAAATAATCATGATATAGTGATTTTTCAGGGAGTAAGTATACATGTGGCATTTATATTATTTCATTTTCTACCAATCTGTTGCATTTTGCAGGTCTTACATCTTAATAAAAGAGCCATAAAAACATGAGTGGCAGAAAAAGAAAAATTATATCATCCATCAATTCTGTTCATTGTTAAGCTCCTCTTAATTTAGGGGATGTGTATTGCTAGGGATGAGGCTAGAGCCTTCCACATGCTTACAGGTGCTCTACTACTAAGCAAACTTCCTTTATTTGGTACCAAAAATCAAACTCAGGGCCTTGCACTTGCCAGGCAGGTGCTTATGGTGCTGAGCTATCTCCCTGGCCTGCTAATTTCCCTTTTAAATAAATCTTATTTATTTGCATTTTGAAGTTGGAGCATAAAGCTTAAAAACTAAGTGATTGTAAGAAATGGTTGTATTAAATTATATTAAGAATTCAGATTAATTATAATATTAAATGTTTATTATGTGGAAGGTTGTCTTTTAAGAGTGTGGTAAGGACTAAGCAAAATCTTTTGAATCTTTTTTTAGGCTTGCTAAACTCACAGCTGCAGTCTTACTGGCTAAAGATGTTCCTGTGTACCTTTTTTCAAGATATGTTCCTACACCTTTTGTAGTAAGTGTATTGTATTAGTAATTGTTTAGTTTGTTGCTCTTGATAAGATTTCTTTTTTTTCATTTTAACGAGGAAAACAACAAAGACAACAAGAACAATGACAAAAACAAAGCAACATAGAACAATAAAAATGGTACAGAATTTCAAAACAAGAATAGAAAATTAATAATTTATATTATAATACGTATTGTTATCATCAAATTTGTTGCTCAGATTACCAGATATAGGCATGCAAGATTGATCAAACAATTAAACTTTAACTCTTGCTTTCAATAAACCTTAATTTTTTTCTACTACAATTTAAAACCTTGTCACAGATATAGTTTTGTATTAATGATATGAGAAACAAAAGGAAGGGAAAAATTTGATTTGACTTTAATTTAACTTTTGAACAACCTAAGAATTTTATATCTGAAAAATGACAAGGCTGCAATCATGATGGAATATTTTTAATGCTTTTCTTTCACAAATAGATAAGGCAGACAAAAATGATTAGAGATAGATTTGAACACATTATTAACAGGTTTGATCTATTGAGCGCGTGTAAAGATTCTTTATTCTGTGATGGTAGGATACACGTTGTTAAGCAGTTACAAAGGAAGTCTCAACAAATCCTAGAGAGCTGGTTATCGTACCATATTCTTGGACTCCAATACAATAAAATTATAAATTAAAAAGCCTGAGAACCTCCTATATTTAGAATCTTAAAACATACTCATAAGTAATTTGTGGATTAAGGAAGATATAATTGAAGATGAGAAACTACAGGTAGTCTTTGCTTTGAATGAATGATAGGGGTATAAAGACAGTTATGAAGCTAAAAATCCATACAAAATGATCTTCATAGTCAATGGGAAAAATTATAAGTGTTCCATAATCTTTAAAAGATCTTCAGAAAACATTAAAAGCCTTCTTACTCTTGGTTTAAAATGTATGAAGAAAGAAAAAGTGTAGTAAAAATATTTAGTTAGTACATTACAATTTAAAATATTAGAAACTTTGAGTACTGAAATTCTTTCTTGGGCTGAGAATAAAACTCAGCAGCACAAGCACCTACCTAGTGAGCACAAAGTCCTGAATTTGATTCCCAATACCAAAAAAAAAGTTCTTTCTTTGTTAAAAAGAAAATTAGCCAAGACTATGAAATGTTTGCTTTTTGTCAGGTAACTTTCAATGAGTGAGCATTTTTATTTTGCCTTCGTAGACTGTTATGTAGTTTTATAAGTTTGAATCAACTTCCAGTATTTGATCCTTTGTTACTTTTAATATATTGAAATAGCTCTGAAAGATCTTTTAACGTGAAGTTTTCTTGTTACCATTCCTCTTGGACTTTTTCAAGCTTTTCATCACAGCCCCATTCTTCATTTCATCCACATGTTTGTCTTCATTATGCTTCTCTGGCTGCATATCCAAAGTCTCTTGAATGGTGACAGGGTTGATATTACCAAATGTTTTTTCATTTATGTTCAACACAATTTTCTTTTCACCATTATCACTTTCTAAAAGTTTCTTTGTTACATTTTAGTCTTTGTTAGGTAGTTCTCACTTTTAGTATCCCTTTTTCTAAAATGTCACATGGGCATATCACTGAGAGATAAGATATATCTAGGGAAGAGCTGATTAATAATACACAGTGATCAATCACTGAAAGACTTTAAAAGAGTTACATAGCTCTATTATACATGTATTGTGGACTAAAGAGCTAGCAATCAAATTTGTACTTAATACAGTTATCTATGGTTAATGTTACTATGGTAATAGAAATTTGAAATGTTATTAGAAGACTCATACTATTTAACAAAAATGTGGCAATAGAAATTTTTATATATTGGATCTGTGCAATGCAAGGACTGTTTAAAACTGAACAATATGGAAACAGTAAGTAGCAGAAATTTGGGGATAGAACTAAGTCTTACTTAAAGGGAAATTTATAGCTTTAGTGAGTATAGTAAAGAGAAAGATTAGAAAGCAATGTGCTAAGCTTTAACTTAATTTGTTCATGCTAAACAGATAAAATCTAAGTTAAGTAAAAATAATGAAATCATAAAGGAGATAAATAAATCAAGTAAACAGAAAATGAAAAAATATCAACAACAAAAACAAAGTTAGGTTTCTGAAGAGATAAGAAAATAAATGATCCTGGAAAGGGTAGTCAAGAAACAAGGAAGCCACAAATAAAAAGTTAAAAAGCACATATTCTAAACAACATAATGTAAATAAATGTGCAAGCTCTGATGAATTTGCCAGTTTCCTAGAAGAGTACTTGCTGCATCAGAACTGATAAGAACTTTAAAAAAATCTAAATAGATAATGTCTCTATAAGCTATTCTAGTGATTTATTGGAAATATATTAACAATTTTTTTAAAAAGCCCTAATGAATAGTAGAAACCAAGTAATACTCCAGAGGTCTAGACCATCTCTGTAAGATTCTGCTACAGTTGCCGGTTCTAGCCATCATCATTCCCACTATGTTGACTTTTTTGTCCTAAGTAGATAGATTTACTCTGACTGTTAGGGAAGATACTTTCAGTAATTTCAGATTCACACCATTTTATTACATTCTACTCAAGTCAAAGGCAATCGGCCTTGACTAACTGTAGCTGGAATCTTGAACTCTAACCATGCTTGATTTATGAGAATGTTTCTATTCAAAGGAATAGGTAATTGGTTAGAATGGGGTCAGTTCACACCCCTCACCATTGTCAGGAGGGAAGTTAGATGTAGTGATAGAAGCTAAAAAAGAACCATCCTAAGGAAACAAATAATAATTACTACAGAAAAAATGGAAGTTCAGCCTGAGAATTAAATGTGACTGAGAAGATAGTGAGTTGACCTTTTTATGATAGAAGGCAGAGTATATATAAAAATTTTCAAATTGGAAAGCAAGAAACCTGCATTATACCTATGAATTCTCCACCTAGTAATTATATAATATGGCAAAAATCTCTAAGACTGAATTAAAGGACATTGGGAAGAGGAAACCATTTGATCTAATAATTGAATGAGTTTTAAATCCTATATTTAGAAATAGACCCCACCTACAAACCTGGAGTCTTTGAGACTGTGGGTGATTTATACCATAATGTCTTCCTATTATTTAATCAGAGTTAATTTCATGTTAAATGTACGAGTAGTTAGAAAACAAAATAGAATTATGTTGTAATTTTTTCAGCCATATGCAGTCCAAGAGCTCAAAGCAGTTGCAGGTGTGATGATTACTGCATCTCACAACCCCAAGGAAGACAATGGATACAAGGTAAATGTTGCCGTCCTTACTTTTGCTTATTTTATAGTTCTTATGTTATTTTAGTAATATGTGCTACAAGCTAAACATTGGGAACAGAAAAATAAAAACATTGAGGCTGGCCCTTGCAGCATTTTTATCCTGAATGGCCCTTACTACTTCTCAACAATTGGCCTTTTACTTCTCATTGCTCTTGACTTCTCCATCCCACCCAAAATCTATCCTGCCTTTTCAGAAATACAGTTGCATTGTACCAAGAATGTGAAGAATTCATGGGATACTTGATCTCATTTTCCCCTCCCTCTGACCATCAGTCCTGGTTCCCCATTGGCCACAGGATCCATTTGCTGTGTCAGATTGTGTAGCAAGAAGCAGAATGGAGAAGGGTGAAAAGTGACTCTGGGAGCATTATTGGTAGCTCCTGAAAGTGGCTAGGTTTTGTGTTACTCTTTTGTCCTCCTTGAGTTAGTTTCTAATCTTTCTCATTTTGAACAAAGACTTGAATGAAATGAGCACAAAGCAATGGCAAGGTTTATTTGAAAGAGTAGAAGTTTCTGAGATGGTTATACACACTGTAATCTCAGCACTCGGGAGGCTGAGACAGCAGGATTGCCATGAGTTTGAGGCCAGCATGGGCTACATAGTTAGCTGAAGGCTAGCCTGAATTACATAGTAAGGCCTTGCCACAAGAAAGAAAGAAAGAAAGAAAGAAAGAAAGAAAGAAAGAAAGAAAGAAAGAAAGAAAGAAAGAAAGAAA